GGTAATCAGTTTCCGGTTCCTATTTTTGCATTTAGTTTTTTGGTGTTACTTGGGTATTTTGTGAATTTAATTTATTTTGGTGTTGTGATTCACGCTTTATTTTGGTTATAAGGGGGACTTCTGGTCTACTTTTCCCTTAATTTATAACTAAAGCGTTAGTTTGTAGAGCGGAAGTTAAGTTACGTTAGGGAGGCGTATAAGTTAAGTATAATCTGCGGTATTCATGTCGCCTTAATATGTAATTTTACGTTCCACCGAGTTATGTTTTTAGTATTTAGTCATTACTCAAGATTGGTTAATTTACTTTATAATCATGTGTTAGGTTTATGTTCACATTATTTTCTAATAATAATGGGGATAGGGTGTCCTGGTTTTATTTTTGGATTTTCGTTTTCCTTATAGCTGCTCTCCTTTTTGTGATGTTTTTGTGTTGCTACGTGTTGTTTGGTTCTGTCTCTCTATTTTAGGCTCGTTTGGTAAGTAGTCGCCGGGAGTTTCTCAGAAGTATTTCTATACGTTGACTGTTTTTTTACGATTCTGTTGTGCTCCTTACTATTTTGGATTTGTAGTCCGGGTTGGGAGTACGTGTGGTGTCATATTTCTTTATCGTCTGTGTCAACCCTTCTAGTCGCTTGTTTTTGCACATATTTTGTTTTGTCTAGTTTTATATATGGTTAGTATTTTTGGGCGTTAGGCTGTATATACTATTTTTTATATTTGGGTAGAGTTGAGGGTGTAAAGGAGAGATTTTGCGTTTTTTGTTTTTGGTAACCCCTCTATCTTTACCCCTATTTTATAAGTTAGGGGTGTGTTTGGGCATTGCATGCTCTTCTGTGTATATTCTTTTAATTTAGTCTGTGTATTGTCTTTCTGAACAGGTTTTTCGTATAATTTGGCTGCGGATGGTTGTTTGTCTAGTACCCTTTAAAGGTTGGTGTTAATTGGTTTTTATGCAATGTATTTTATGTTAAAATGGTTACTGTACACGTAAAAGAACCACTAGTGGGGCTTTTTTATGGGGTCCGGAAAACGGAAACAATGTAATTTATTAAGAATATTGGGTTCGCCTCTCGAAGGAGGAGTTTTTCTTTGCTATTTTTGGTAACCTTATTTTATTGTGAGAATATTGGTTTGTCTAACAAGAGGAGGCATTGGGCCAAGTTGCTATGATTTTCATGCTTTTTATTGGTTATGTTGGGTTGTTGATTAGTCTTTTGGTAATAACTTTTTTATTTTAGGAGAGCGTAAGATTTTGGGTTATGCTGAGATTCGTAAGGATCCCAATAAGGTTGGGGTGCTGTGGTTACTTCAGAGGTTTGCTGATTTGCTTAAGTTAGTTGTGAAGTACAAGATGTATGGGTTTCAAAATGGTAGTTATGTTTCTGTGTTGGGTGTGTATTTATTAGTACTGATAGTGGGGTTTTATTGTGTTCTTTTGGGGGTTTATTATGGTTATAGTGGTATGAGGTACTCAATGCGTTGACATTTGGTTATTAATTCTTTTGGGAGGTATGCTTTCTTGTGTGCTGATTGGGGAAGATATAGTAAGTATTCAGTTTTGGGTACAATGAGTTCTGCTTTCGGCTCTATTAGTTTTGAGGCTTGTTTTATGTGTTTGGTTGTTCTTGTGCTTTGTGTTATGAGGGGGGGGGGAAATTGGTTGATTATTATAGTGCTGGTGGTTAAGTGTGCTTTTCTTCCCCTGCTGTTATTTTTTATTTTTGGTGTGTATACTGTGTGAGACTAATCGCACTCCTTTTGATTATGCTGAGTCAGAGAGGGAATTAATGAGGGTGTTTAAAACTGAGTATAGTGGTATGTTTTCTGCTTGTCTGTTTGTCAGTGAGTATATCATTATATTCATATTTTCAGGGTTTGGCAGGATAGTTTTATTTGGTTGGAGTTTTTTGGCTGTATTTGTTGTTCCTTTTCATCTTTCATTTTTTATGTGGGCTCGTGTTACGTTGCCGCGGGTTCGGCATGGAGATTTTGTTAACTTTTTGGTCTGTGGGATTATGCGTTTTGATATTGATGCTTTTTTCAGTTGTAATTTAGTGTTTGTATAGATTATGAAATAACTCGTTATGCTGTTAACGTTAATGAAGATTTGGTTCTACAAACGTGTTCTCTGACTTTAGTTTATGTTTACAATGTTAGTTTTGGGGATTAGAGGGCCTTTCTGGGAAGTCAGAGAGTGCCAATACGGCTGCTATGTTTGCTATGCTTTCAATAGTGTGTTTGGGTCGTTTAGTTTGGGGGCATCATATAATTACGGTAGGGTTGGATGTGAAGACTACTGGTTTTCTAGTTATGTAGCTATGATAACTGGTGTTCCTACTGGGATAAAGGTGTTTTATTGATTGTACATGACTTTAAATAGTCGTGTTTCATTACGTGAGCCGGTGTTCTGATGGGTTCTATCTTTTATTTTGCTAGTTACTATGGGTGGAGTAACTGGTGTAATTCTTTCTGCTTGTGTATTGGATAAGATTTTGCATGATACATGGTTTGTGGTTGCTCACATTCATTATGTGATGTCTCTGGGCTCTTATATTAGTATTATTATTTTTTTGTTTGGTGGTGGTGGCCAGTGATTACTGGGGTTGGCTTGAATAAGTATTTGTTGCAGTGTCATTGTAAAGTATCTAATGTGGGTTTTAATTTGTTTTTTTTTCCTATGCAATATTTTGGTATTTGTGGTTTACCTCGTCGTGTTTGTGTCTATGAATCTGGTTATGCTTGAGTAATTAGATAACTTAGGCTGCATACCGAAAAGTTTAGATCTGACGTTAGGTTAGCTGGAAAGCTAACACGAGTAGTGGTGTTAAAACTTGGCGTTAGGGGTGATAAATAAGTCGTAAAACTATATATCTGTTTGGGGGTTTTGGTAATTGTGAACCCACCTGGTGATGAGATCACGTGGGTGGATATACATACTTTGTTTGCTGTGTAAGGTAAGGGTTAAATTTACCTCTCTTTATAGAGTTTGTTATAATTGCGGCGTGAGGTCATGATAGTTGGATTATTTTTGTGGACTCCTTTTATTTAATTATACTCCGTGAAACTATCATTTAATAAGTAATTATATTAGATTTTATGTACCTCAATTCCATCCCGTCTGTTTATTAAAAGCATTTCCATATGCTAAGATATTTGGTTGTACCTGCTCTATGTGCTATAATTGGCCGCAGTATCTTGACTGTACGAAGGTAGCATAATTAATTGCCTTTTAAATGGGGGCTTGGTTGAATGGTCTGACGTGGTTGTGAGTAACACTAGGGCTTTGAGTTAAATTGGTGACGCGAGTTCAGAATTTGCGTGATTTAATTAGGCGGAAAGACCCTAGGATCTTTAAATTTTTGTATGGGACAATTGAGGATATTTTATTTGCTTTTCGACCCCTTTAGAGTGTTATAGATTTAAGTTACCCTAGGGATAACAGAGTGATTGGTTATTGGAGATCTTATCGACTAAACTGTTTGCTACCTCTATGTTGACTTGGGTTAAATGTTCTGGCGCAGTTGTTAGGAATTTTGGTCTGTTCGACCGTATGTACCCCTATGAGTTGAGTTAAGACCGGCCTAAGTCAGGTCGGTTCTTATCTATTGTTCTAACTCGTTATTACGAAATGATTGCGGGTTAGTTTGGTAAAATAATTGCCTTCGGGTCTCAGTATTGCAAATGCTAGTGTGAATATGTAATTATTTTGGGTTTTATCTGCCTAACTATGGGAGTAGAAAGGGTATTAAGATGAATCGCATAAATATGCTTTGTTGTTTTTAGGGCAGCATGAGTGTTTTGTGTTTATAAGCGATTAATATTTTATTTAAGCGTGGACTTTATTAAAGGCCTCAAGAAAGAGGGGATCAGGCCCAGTGAAAGTATCCGCGGTTTTTCTGTTTTCTCTGCTTTTTGCGGCTTTGCTTGGAGATAGTTATAAATCAATTTGGGTGAAATTTCTTTATTTTTGTTACTGTTATCTCTCGGGGCAGTAAATAACTGTGTAGTGAGGGGGATTGGAGATCCCCGTTACTAACTATTTTTTTGAGCTTAGTTTTATAAGTAAAATAGTTTGGCAGTGAGTT